GGAGGATGCTTTGGAAAGGGGCAAGGCAAAGTCAGAGAGATCTTTAAAGAGTCTCAAATGTAATTCAACCCAGAAAGAGGAGGTTCTGCATTAGGGCGGGACCAGTGCGATGGGGCCAGGGTGGTGGGGGAGGGGCAGCAGAAGCCTGAGATTTTAGAAGGTGACACAGAAGAGAGGCTTGGAGACCACTTCAGTGTGCTGGGTGACGGACAGGAGGAAGCAGGGCTGACTCCCAAGTGTTTGGGTTTTGGAAGTCTCCTCTTCAACACAAATACCTAGCCCAATACTGAGCACGGCCTGGCAGTCTAGTCACTGCTGCTCAAGGAAGATGCTTCATGAAATAAGTCAAAGTGATACTTGCTTTTGTAGTAAGGAGGGGCAACATCCTGCACCTGGGTTGTCACAGTGTATTTATTGCCGGCTGCTAGATTACTTGGATTTTCATAATCTAGATCACCAATCAACTAGATTAAAACAGAGATATCAGATTACACAGAAAAGCAATCCTTTTAATTCAACGGATGAAGACATTTTTCTATCTATAAGTAGAAATGCAAATTGAAAAGCCTTTCTGGAAAGCATTTGCCTACATAAGGAACTTTAAAGCGTTATGCCCATAACTGTCCATGTGTCCATTCTCTGCTCACTGCTAATGAATTTATTGGAAAGAATCTATGTTTAAAGATGTCCATCAAGTACTATTGCCCAACAGGCTCAAGACTGCAGGTTAACTGAAACCAGTTTGGCTCAGTGGATAGAGTGTCGGCCTGCGGACTGAAAGGTCCCAGGTTCGATTCCGATCAAGGGCATGTACCTTGGTTGCGGGCATATCCCCAGTAGGAGATGTGCAGGAGGCAGCTGATCGATGTTACTTTCTCACCGATGTTTCTAACTCTCTATCTCTCTCACTTCCTCTCTGTAAAAAATCAATAAAATATATTTTTAAAAAAAGACTGCAGGTTAGTTGAAAAGAAGCACAATATAGAATCCTATATGCAGGAATAATTCCATAATTTAAAATACGTATGCATATATGTATAGAATATACATAAATCTATGTATAGTGAAGAAGAAGGAAATATACCAAAATGCTATTAGTGGTTATCACTGATTGGCAATGCTTTTCTATGTTTCCTACATCAAGCATATATTAATTTCTTCAACAGAAAAAAAAATATTTTTTAGCTGACACTATGAATAAAATTGGTAAAGACGTTCTTGGGGACAGAAAAAGGGCTTTGGATGGGAGGTGGAGAATGGGGTGGGTGAGAGAATGCCACCTAGTGGGCTGTTTGCTCTCCTCACTGTGGAATTATCTCTGATGCAAAGTCCCCTTTCCCCCCCACCAGGACCACTGCCCCCAAAGTTCCCCCTACTGCCTCCCTCGGCCCTTCCTTTTCCCTCCAGTGGAAACCCTGAAGGTTAAGGTCTCATACAGCTTTTCTTCTTCTCTTTTAAAAATATATTTTTATTGATTTCAGAGAGGGAGAGAGAGACTGAAACATCAATGATGAGAGAGAATTATTGATTGGCTGCTTTCTGCACGCCCCACACGGGATCGAACCGGCAAACGGGGCATGTGCCCTGACCGGGAATCGAACTGTGACCTCATGGTTCATAGGTCAATGCTCAACCACCGAGCCATGTCAGCCGGGCGAGATCTGCTTTCCATGCCCGCCCTGCTTCCAAGTCTGCTTTGCCCCGTGGGGATGCTGTTGAGTGAGGCTACCTAAACAGCCTGGCTTTCTCATTCCCCTCTGGGTCTGCAGTGGTCGTTCAAGGCTGAATTTAGCAGGATACACTCATCAAGGCCCTGGGCCTGCTTTCTCTCATCTCACACCTCCACTGTCCAGAAGGAGCACTCAAATATACGACAGTACTTGAGCCCAGGGGGCACTAACGTGACTATAGAGGCAGCTAAGCAGGCACAGCAAACTGCAGCTATGCAAGAGAGAATCCAGTCTTTAGCACCCCAGGCATAACTATGCATAACAGACGATTCCGGAACTTGGGTAAAATAAAGAGCAAATGGGGAAAACAGAGTCACTATTATGTGTGTCAGTTACAGCCCTGCAGTGAGGGAGTTACCTTGGAAATTTCTCTCTCAGGGGCAGCAAAAGCACCATGCATGCTAGACCAGCTTCCCCCATGCCCTCTCAACCATGCAATGACCATTAACTGACCACAATTTTCCCAGAGCCAGCTGGATCCTGTAAGAATCTGCTGCGGCTCCCCACTCCAGATGGCTCGGTAAAGTTGAATTGGCTGTTTGGTGCTTCGCTGTCATCATCAAAGCAGACCGTGTTCAGGTCCAGAAGCAACGTCCCCTTGGCTGCGCGTTCAGGCACCATAATGCTGGCGAAGAGACGTGATTCAATAGTTTCCCCAACAAATGGCGACTGAGTGTTCCTTCTGACATAGACCCAAGGCCAGACAGCTCCGCTTTAGTTTTAGTTCAAAGCAAGTCCCTGGTAACTGCAGTAACGGCCTAACTAGAGTCTCTGCTCTGCCCTGGCCTCCTTTCTGGGGGTCCTTAACACACCCGCCAGAGGGACCCTGATGCATGCTGTCAGGTCGGGTCACTCCTCTGCTCCTAAATCCCACGTGGCTCCTCATTGCACTCAAAAACCTCACTTTAACCTGTGCACCACCACCCTCACCCTTACCTGTCTGAACTCATCGCTTCCTTGTTCCCTCTACTCCAGCCCAGCCTGGTGCTCCTTGAACACTCCCCAGGCTCTGCCCTCAGGGCCATTCCACCTACTGTGGAACGCCCTTCCCACCAAGGTCTATGTGGCCGCCTTTTCACTTCCTTTAATCTCTAACCCAATGTTACCTTCTCAGGAGGCTATCCCGGCGATCCTACCTAAACTGTGACTGAGCCCTGCCCATAGCTTCCTCTTCCATTCCCCGTTTTTATTTTTAATTCTTGGCACTTGTTGTTTTCCAACATACTAGATAGCTTACTTATTTATCCGGTTCATCATCGTTTGCCCCACTCGACTGTAAGCTCTACAAAGGCTGGGATCCTTGCTTTGTTCTGGACATGCTCAATAGACATTTGTTGAATGAATGGATGGTAGCTTATGAGACTAGCACGGTAGTAAAGAAGAATACATATAAAGGAGAATGTAAGAAAAATATAAATTCTCCCACCTCCTGTCAGAGTTTATAATCTGCTTAGGGGAAACGCGGCGCCCCTCACCTTCCATGCTTTGAAGGTTGGGAATTCCTCTACTTGTTCCTAATAGCGTCAATATCATAGCAGGGTGTCCTAGCACCTTAGTATTATTCCTTCAATAGAGGTTTATTAAGAGTCAAATTCAGGGCTCCTAATCTCTGATGGTCCCAGGGTCTAAGCAAACAGCACAAGTAAAGCTGCCCACAACCAAGAGCTATCTGGTCAAGCCCAGCTTGGCATGGGAAACTGAGCAACATGATTAACACTGACAGGCTTCAGTTCATTGAGGAGCTTTATCGTGCTTCCAGGTTTCAGTTTTCCCATCTGTAAAATGGACGTAAATGATGCCAGTTAGCTTTTGTTACATAACAAACCAGCCCCAACGTAGTGGCTTAAAGCAACAGGCACATGTTACTTCTTTCAATATTAAGGATTAGCCGTTCATTCTTTTGGTTCTAGTTCAGCTTGGCTGTGGTCACTGGCAGCTTGGCCGGGGCTAGATATCTAGAATGACCTTGTTCACATGTCTGGTGGTAGGAAGGTGGTGGTTCTATTTCATGGCGTCTCCTATCCTCCAGGAGACTAGTTCGGGCTTTTCACATGAAGATCTCAGGTTTCCAAAAGCAGCAAAAGAGGGCAAGCCCCAGCGCATGTATCCTTCCGGGCCTCTGCGGGGCCACATTTGTGAATGTTCCAACGGCCAAAACAACTGATGTGGTCAAGGGCAGATTCAAGTAGTAGAAAGAGAAACCCCTATCTTGACGGGAGGAATGGCGAAATCACATTGCACGGGCCCGCAGACAGGCAGGGAGGGATTTGTGGCTGGTGTTTTGGTTTTGGGTTTGTTTGGGTTTTTAGTTTTGTTTGTTTATTTGTTTTTGCTACCTACCTTCAATCATAGTTTGCCTCGGGCAGAATTTCTTACAAAAAGTGTATTTGGCTGCCATGAGAATGTGCCTGGAAGACCTTCAATCACAGGACCATAATTGACCCCAGATGCCAGCTGCTGGGCTCTGAAATCCATTGCTATGTTTGCAATGAGGCCATGTGCCCATGACTGGGCGTGGCAGAGATTAAGACAGGCTCATTCCTGTGCTAGGGCAGCTGACTTTGGCTTCAGGACTTCCCAGTGCCCTAGATGAACCTTCCATGGACAGCATGGCCTGCTAGAAGGTTTCTGCCCTCCTCGCCCCCTCATTGTCTTCTGCAGGCATTTCCCCTATTAAATGCCTTTAACATTTACTCCTATCTCCTCAGAGCACCCAGACTAATGTGTTCAATTCTTTAATCCTCTGAACTGTCACCTCTCTACAACCAAATTGTGCTCCCTTCTACTATTGGCAGCTAAAATGGGCTCTGGGCTCAGCAAACATGGAGCAAATTCTGACAGCAAGGATGGTCTTAGGCTGCTGAGGATAACTGGGTTCGCTCCGTGGAAAGCACTTTTTCTGACAGGTGTAACTGAATCTCCACGATGCCTCATTGGCAAAGATCACCTTGCCTACACAGTGTCATGGTTTTTATTCACAAGTACTTGGAATAGATGCCATTTATTAAACACCAACTATATGCTGTATCACTTAAAAAATATCATCTCTAATCCCCTCATTTCCAAAGGGTTTATATTCTTGTCCCCTTTTAGAGGTGAAGAAAGAGTCGTTTGGAGTGGTTTCAAGACCTGTCCAGGATAGTTGATGCATACGGGCACAGTTCCCTATTGTCTGTGTTAGAGTCACAGGAAATACTACTTCAAGTTCCATGATTCAGTGAGTCTCCAGGCCCACAGATGGTTTGGGAATCTGAGCCCTGATTCTAGCTCTGCAGAGACCAGGAGGTTGCATCATGCAAAGAATCCAGGGTCCTGAAGCCAGATGACTCACTATTCATACACGCATCCCCTCAGGGCTGCCTGGCATGTGCTTTTCATTCATCTCTGACACTTGGTATTTTCCCCCTAAACACTTGACTTGGAAAACCACTCCTCCTCATTCATCAATCCTTGCCTCAAAAGCAGGCTGCCCCCACTCCTAGCCATCTGACCACGGTCCCCTCCCCAGGCAAAGGTGACTGGCCCGATGACATTCGGAATCAGCTGGCCTTCTCTGGCTCTGGCTCTCAGTAAGCACTTTCAGCCTCATAGCTTACAAGCAGAGTGGGGCTGTCACAGGCTTTTGATGCCTCCATCAGGGCCCTGGGCTCGCTCATCACCAGCCTGGGAAAAGTAGGGGCCTGGGTCTAAGGGCTATTTCCCTCTTGGCCCAGCCCAAGAGCCTGAGACTCACAAGACAGCCGGGGGCCAGGCACGCAGCCCTGCCTCCTCCCACCCTCTTCTACCTGCTCTCCCAAACTCCAGTGCAGGGATGGCACCAAGAGCCTTGAGCCCTGAAGGAGTAAATATTCAGGGACAAATGTTGTTAGAGTTAAGGTGGCAACACTACTTCTGTTGTTTGGTGTGCTTGGATTCTGGCATGGTGGGAAGGGGAAGGAGGTAAGGATGGGAGGATGGGAGGTAATGCAGGGTCAGGGTTCACAGCCCCTGCAGTATGAAAATGAGGCTGGGTTTTGGAGTAAAGACCTCCAAGGAGCTTTTTGTTGTCCTGCCTCACATCTTGTCTGGAGGGACTTGAGTATTACTTAGAGTTTCCTTTAGTACTAAATACAATTAGTTCACTTCTGGCTTTGACTTTCAGGGCTAATTTGGAGAGAAGATTATCAAGAGTAGGATTCTGCATGGGTTTGCCTGGACAGTCTAGGATATTTAAAATGTGATTTTACCAGCCAATATGGAATGGAATGCTGTCTGCAAATGCCATCCATGCATCAGGGTTCTCCAGAGTGCAGGAGGCCACAGCGTGCATTTAACAGCACTGTACCAAAGGGAGAAAGCTGACAAGGAAGCGTGGAGAGAGCACAGTCCTCTCCAGTAAGTACTGTACTCAGACTTCTTACTCCTCAACCCCTCTCCCCACCTTCAGGGCAGGGGACAGTAGAAGAGCAGCAGGGCCTAGAAGGGCAGCATAGAAGGAGAGGAATTCCCCAGGATGCACTGGAGCCACCCAAGAATGCTGGCATAGATTTAGATTTTCAAAGAAAGTAGAGGTGCGACTCTGCATGTCATCTCTACTCCAGCCCCAGGGCCCAGACTTCTGGTAACAGTGGTGGGTTCGATTTATACACGTAATGGGGTAGAAGTCACGATCCTAACTACCCATGGCACCATCTCCACCCATCAAACAGGCTCTGAGGTTATGGTTGGAATAGGTGCCTATCACATGATCAAGGTTATTATTGACTTGAGGGCCTCATGCGGCTCTTTGGCCCCATGACATGGGCCACGAAGTTTCAATCGCACTGTACATGCACGCCCGCACGTGGTATTTTGTGGAAGAGCCACACTCAAAGGGCCAGTTTGCCGACCACTGGTCTAGGGTCCTTTGCTCTTTCCACAGTCACACTATGGATTGTGCCGGTGTCCAATGTCTCCTGGAGTTTAAAAAGTCAACTTGCAAAACCAGTCAAAGATAAACGGACAAACTCCGAAGGAGACTGTCCAGGTGGACATCTGAACATAGAACTACTCTGGTCGTCAGCTTGCTCCAGGGGGAGCCACCTTCAGATTCCTAAGAAACGGGAGCTAGCTATTCCAAAAGCACTGCGGAGAGGAAGCTACCCCAGGCCGTCGCTAATCTTGTGGCATTCAGACAAACTACTTAGTAGAAAGACAATACTGTTTTCAAAAAGGCATATGAACCCAGAGTCACAAGGGACTTTATCTTAAAGTAATGATGAATAGATTGTGAGACAAACAACAGATCAAAACGCAGAAAATAACTTGCATCCCACTTGTATCTGCATTTCCCCCTTTCTATTGCCTTTCTGTACATGCAATTAAGTTGCGTAAAGTGAATTAGATGCTTTGTTTTAAGTAAATACTTGGTTTGATTTATTCATATTACTGGCGGTGTGTTTCTCTTTCAACTATATATCATAACCACTAACAGCACCGTCTTCCCATGAATGGCAATAAATAAAGGAAAGGCACAGCCCAGGGAGGGTCTAACAAGTCCCTGTAGTACTTTTCACCGATGGAGATGAACACATTGTAGAAGAGAGCAAAATAAAAATATGTTTTAACCCAGTTAGAAAGTGGAGAAGGGAGACGATGAACGAAGAGGAAAGAAAATGAAAGAGAGGTAAGAAAAAAGGATGATGGAAGGAAAACTTATCAACTGAATCGGACATTTCACTCTACTTATTTCATGAGCCACGTCCTCGTGCGCATAATTCTTCAGCTTCACCTGAGAATAACCAGAGTGGTCGAAGGGCTGAGGACCACTGAGGAGGTGAAATCCCCAGCACGTGTCTCAGGGTGTGAATACCTGAAGGTGAACTTGGTGCAAGTAGCAGGGTTGTCATTAATGTCCTTCACCAGGAAGGTTATCTGCATGCGATTCTCCTGACCCCCGAAGGGTCTGTCCTTCACCAGAACTTCCAGGGAAATGGCGGGATTTTGTCTTAATTCGCCTGCATCTCGGTCTAGCCTGTGGGCCACTTGGATGGTACCAGTCACTAAGAAGGCAAAGATTAGAACATGACTCTTTGGAGAGAAATGAAGAGTAAAGGCAGATGGAGACCTGTAGTACATTGAAGAGAACATTCTGATATGGGGACAGGCTTACACAGAAACTATCCTCACACAAACTCATTTTTTAAAATTCATGTGTAAATTTGTGTATTGGACATTGATTGGGGTATCTGGCCCGACCCTTCTAGAATTGTTTACCCCTTACTTCAGGGTTGGGCCCATAGATGAGTGGACTGGTAGGCAGCTGACTCCCGCCTGACCCCCTGGGTTCCCTTACTGGAGATTTTGTAGCCGAGAGACATAAGTTGGGTAACCATTCAGATTAATAGTAGAGCTACAGGTAAGAGGCCAGAACTCTAGCTGCTGAGGTTACAGGAGCAGTGCTGATCCCCAGCCTTTCCAGGTCCAGACTGCCCCACTCTTTCTCATGAGATACCTAGCATCCTACTGATGTGTCCCTATCTTTATCCGCCCCCCCCCCCCTGCTTGGTTTGATTTGCCTTAATTTCTGTTACTTGCAACCAAAGAGTCTTAAATATGCTCCCCCTGCAAAACACTGTATTGGTTAAAAGTTCCATTTTGCAATACTAGCATGAACAACATTTTTAATCGTGGTTGTCTGTCCCTATACTATCAGCTGAGTGAGGTCCTTGGTGACAGAGAATTAGGAAGCTTTTAGAGGTAGAGCATAGTTATGGCCTTGGCCTGTCTCTCCTGGGAGCAAGTATCCTTTGCCCTAAAGCCTTTTGGGCAAATAACACATTGACTTTCTGGGATTGTTCAATGCTGGCCTCCACAAAACCATTATGTAAAGTGAGGTCTCTTTTGGCGATGCATAGGAACTCTTGAGGTGATACAGTCTAGGAGTGGTGAAGAGGGTCAGATCTGAAGTTGGGCAGCTTCAATGTGTATATCAGACTCACAACTTACAAGCTGTGAGAACTTGGACAAGTGGCTTAACCTATCTGAGTCTCTTTCTAAGCCTGTTTCTTCATCTGTCAAATGCAGATTATGATAGTTTGTTGAGTTGCTGTGCTGAGTACTTTATTTTTTAATTATTTTTATTGATTTTTTTTAGAGAGGGGAAGGACGAGAGAGAACCATCGATGTGAGAGAAACAGCAATTGGTTGCCTCCCATATGCATCCAACCAGGTATAAACCTGCATCTGGGTATGTGCCCTGATGGGGAATCGAACTCACTGCCCTTTGGTGTACTATATGCAACGATGCTCCAACCAACTGAGCCACACTGGCCAGGGTGTGCTGAGTAATTTAGATGAAAAGTATGTGGGTCACTCAACAGAGAGCCTGGTCTATATTAAAAGAAACTCCCCTTCTCTGCACCGAGACACCTAGATGGGAAAATAATGCCCAGCAATCAGCAAATTGATCTAGATCAGTGTGGTACAGGACAGTAACCACGAGCCACATGTGGTGAGCACTTGAAATGCCGCTAGTTCAAACGGAGACTTGCAGTAAATATGAAACACACAACAAACTTCAAAGCCTTGGTACAAAAAAAATAATATAAAATATCTCATTCATAACCTTTAAATATTAACTACATGTTAAAATATTTTTGATCTGTTGGTGTTAGCTAAAATTCCTTATTAAAATTAATTTCACGTGCTTCTTTTTAGTTCTTAAAAATGTGGCTACTAGAAACTTTAAAATGGCTTATGTGACTTCTGTTTCTATTGGACAACACTGGTCTAGACCCCCTTTTCAGGCCAATGAATTCACCCATCCTTACATAAAGAACCTGCTTCAAGGCTGAAATAGTGGTACATCTGTTGACTGTTTAGATTCTGCAACCCCCATGCCAGTTGGGTTTTTTGTTTTTATTTTTCTGTTAAACCTCACCAGAGGATATTTTTTCCATTGATTTTTTTTAAGAGATAGCTGAAAGGAGGGAGAGAGAGAGAGAGAGAGAGAGAGAGAGAGAAAGAGAGAGAGATAGAGAGAGAGAAACATTGATTGGTTGCCTCTTGCATGTGCCCGGACCAGGCTAGGGATCCAACCTACCAGCCAGGTAGGCGCCCTTGACTGGAAATAGAACCCACGACCCTTCAGTTTACAGGCCGACACTAACCACTGAGCTACAGGCCAGGTTGATGTCAGCTGTTTTTAAGACGCTTATTACCCTGTTAACTTATGATATTCTAGACCGAAAGGCATGCCCAGATCAGAAGGCACACAAACTATTTGAAAAACAACCCAAGCGGCTGGCTGAATTAAAAGATGCGCATAAATGATATGCGTGTGAGTGACTTACACTGATTTATCATGAAATAGCTGTTGACCGTAGTGATGCTGTAGAGGAGGAAACTGGCCAAACCTTCATTATCAGGGTCCTCAGCTGTGATATTGGCCACGACGGTTCCTGGACCCAGCTCTTCCGGAATCACATACATTCGCGTTGGGCTGGAACAGAAATACAGCAGACACAGCTAATTTTCAGGGACACGGGAGGGTAGAGACTGGAGGTGGGTATTTTGGTTCATGCTAAATATAGCTCTGAGCTGTGGAAGTTGCATCAGCATGCTCAGAGGGAGGACGCAGCAGCTGAAAGGATGGGAGGCTGGCTTTTGTATTTCCAAGGATCACATCCCTGTGGGTGCAATGAAAGCGCCGCGCGGTTATTGCAATGGTTTGCATGGGCCGCGGTCTCTGACTTCACCCATTCCTGATGCCATTTCAGAGCAGCGTTAACGTTGTTTTAAAATAGGCATAGTTGATGTGTCCAGCCATCTTCTCTTTTTCTTCCAATTCTTGTGCAGAAGTTCCCTGAATGATTTTTAAAAGCCATCTGGAAATAACGTCCAGAACGACAGATTTCTGATTCCCATCACATGGCAGCCACCAAAGCCAGACACATGGTAAACCTTCTCTATTCTAGTTTTTTTTCATTTCTTCTCTGCTCAGTTTTTTTTTTTATTTCTCCCTTGTCCTTTTTTGTTTCTTTGCTTGAGGAGGCAGAATGTATGCACAGAACTTATGTACCTTCCCAAGTAGCATTAATCATGAGGTCAGCTCTCTGAATGGAGAAATGAGCGCACCCCCCCCCACCTCTCTGCAGAAGCCAAGGTGAGAACACTGCCCTCCAAGGATGATTTCTACAAAACAGCCTCAAATCGCCAATTTACCCATCTTCCTCAGACCTCCGCTGCCTTCAGAAAAGGCTGGTAATAAGACAGGGAGCTCTGAAGTTTTAACTACGCAACTTGGGTAAATTGAGTGATTCTGAATGCAACAAGGGAGGCTTATTGTTTAAAATAACTGCAGGAAGTCCTACTGCTGAGGAAAAATCACTTCAGTGGGGCAAGTCGTCACCGCTAATTTGCCAGTTTCCTAAACGTGGATTTTCCCACATGAGATCTTCGTTAAGAGGGAAGGTTATACCTCAGATCTAAACGATGGCATTCATTTCCTGAGCTCTGAATATTTCTGCAGCCTGGCCAGTGTTGCTCAGTGGTTGAACATCGATCCATGCACTAGGAGGTCATGGTTCGATTCCTGGTAAGGGCACATGCCTGGCTTGCGGGCTCGATGCCCAGTAGGGGGCATGCTGGAGACAGCTGATCCATGTTTCTCTGTCAGTGATGCTTCTGTCTCGCTTTCCCTCTCTCTTCCTCTCTCTAATATCAATAAAAGTATACATATTTTTAAAAAGAATATTTCTGCAGCTCCGTCTCATCATCCCTGGAGGGCAGGTGGGACCAGAGCAAGGAAAAAGGACAGGGGACCTCTGGCAGAGTCAGAGGCAGGAAGAGAAACCTGGGCCCGGGCCCTCCCCAACCTCCTCCTGTGTGCACCCTGGGCCTGCCCCCCTCCCAGAGGTGAGTCCGCTGACGGGGGACAGTAATCTTGTTCTGATCAAGAAGCCACCTGGTGCTCTGGACTCCTCCTCCTCCAGTGTCCCGCTGAAGCAGCCTGTCAATCCACTGACTTACCTCACCCCCCCTCTCAGGGGGTCTGTGCTGTGCCCACTGATGGGTCCAGGATTAGACAAGTGAGTAGGGCCAAGGAGGCAGGAATGGCAGGAACTGAACCAGAGCCGGAGGAGAGAGGGGCCAGCCCCAGCTCCTACATCGGGACCAAGCCCTTATGTCCACCATCTGAGAGCCCCTGTTTCTAACCTGTTAGAGTTTTCCTTTGGTTACTTGGAGTGGGTTCTGTTAACCTCCACCACAGAGATTCCTGTGGCACCTGTGCCACATCCCAGCTGGGTCCCTGCTACTTCAGTCATGGTCCCTGATTTCTTAACAGGCTCCCTGGGGGTGCAGACCTCAGCCCACTCCATCCCCTGAATTCAGAATCTGCATTTTCAAAAGACGCCCGGGGACTGACACGCACTTTAAAGTTTGAGCAGGACTGTTACAACGAATCACCAGAGGTGACAAGCACTGGCTCCCAGCTTCTCATAGGACAGGCCCAGGACACCTTGGGAGGAGACTCTCCCCCTCCCCCTCCCTCCTTCGCTAAGGCTGTGGTCTCCCTGGGGGTGATTACGTTGGTTGTCACAATAAGGGAAGGAGACTGCTATTGGCATCTAAGGGGTAGAGGCCAGGGATGCTGCTAAACATCCCATGATGCACAGGATGCCGCCCCATCATATGGAAGTATCCAGCTCAAAATGTCAGCCGTTTAGGACCGCACTGCTTCTGAAGGCTCATCTGGTCCATGCCGGGCGCCCCAGGAAAGCAGGTCCCTGGGAAGGGGACTGGTCAGGCTGCTGGTGGTGGCACAGCTCCTCAGGTAAAACATCCTCCCCTTGGCTGGCCGGACACTGAGCCTGGCAGAAGATGAAATCTTTGGTTTATTTGGTTTGGGAACCCAAGACCCAAATATGAATAAAACATCATTTAATGTAAAGATGTTACCCTCAGGCCACAGTTAAGATCCATTCAAAGCATGGTGAAACCAGGGGCCTTGCAGCCATCCCATAGGGCAGAGCTCTGACTTGCTGCCGTACCTTTTTCCTCATAACAGGATCTCCAGAGCCTGGGTGATGGGTAGACAAGAGCCAGTGGCCATGCTCAAGGGGAAGGGGGTGAACTCGGGGTGACCGTGATATGATGACTTCATCACTACGAATAAATATTCAGTAGGTGCATAAGGTTGTGTATATGCTGCCAGGCACCAGGTTGAAAAGGACTGTGAGTAAATACAAAAAAAAACAGGTGGAAGGGGAGAAAGACCTACTCTAAAAACAGTGCTCTGCAAAAATAGCAAGCATTGTGCTTGGCATGTAGAGAGTAAATGTTAAGTCCAGTACTTTTATAATCTAGTGCTCCACTTGAATAATAGCAGAGTCCCAGAGTGTACTCGTGAGTCCATAAAGTTCAGATGTTTGTCACCACCCAGGGAGACTCTTTCAACAACAGAAATAGTTCTTGCTTTGGTCTTAGTAGGACCTTAACAAACAGTAAAGATAGAAGAGTTGTTTCCACAGTTTACATTTTTACTTCACACTCAAAGTCACTGTCCTTGAGTCAGTTTGAGGATTTAATTTTGTTAACCCTGAATTAAGCAATTTATGGTTAGTCCTAGCTCTGATATTGGGGGGGTGGGGGGGAGAAGAATCATGGCTGAACCATGAAAACCCTCAAAGTCAGCACCTAGTTCGAAACTAAGCAAACTCTTTTGGATTGTGGATGGCTGAGGGGCTAGGCTGACTCTGACTCTGAGAAGCTGTGCCACCACCAGCAATCCGGGCAATGTCAGGGCAACTCCTGCCCCAAATCCTCCCTCAAGAGCGCGGACTTTCACAGACCCATCCCAACCAACAGCCATGGAACACTGTTTGAAATAAAGTCGACTGGTTTTTTTAATGGTTAGATGGCCACAAAGGTCATACTCTGTCTGGAATGGAACCTAACAGGTTCATCTTTCAAACCAAAAGTGAGAACCAGAGTTCCAGACGGATCTCTGGGGCCCCAACAACCTGCCAAGGTCATGTTCTCTCTCTGCTGAGGTCAATTGCTTTATTTTGGAAGATGTAGTCCAAACCAGATGGTCTGCAAGTTCTGCCCTTGGGGAAATTATTTTCTCCTTTGCAACCCTGTTAGCCTGTTTTCCCACCTCACAGACCGGGGGTGTGGGGGTGGCTGCAGAATTCGTCAGCTCCAGCCCATAGCCATCACCTTCCTCTGGGGGTTACTGATGAATCCACGGTGCTGAGCGGCCAGTGCTGGAGTCTGAATCGGGCTGGGATGTCATAACTATTTATAAACTGCCTGGATTGTGCCCCCGGAGGAACCCATCAGCAGAAGTGTACTGCCTTGTGCTTTTGAGCTTAACCTGGCAACAGACATCCACGGGAAACATTACGTGGGAATGTATCTGCTGCTGTTCCCTCCACATCAACACCCAGCAACTGGCCTGTAGGCTGCTAAAATCCGGAAGTTTCACAACTGTGCTGTGTTTTGCCAAATGGCACCAGGTTGGCCTGGGAGTGGGGTGGTCTTAATACCTCCCAACTTCAGAGAGATAAGGGGCCCAAGGTCATCGGTTGCAAGCATTCTGCGTAGTGAAGCCTCCTGATTGAATTTATTCACAGCCATTAATGCAGTTAACCTCAGGCAGGTGGTTTTGCCAGTTTCCTTGTGGCTGCCTCTGAGCCCACCAGTGACTGGGGCAGGCAAAGTCTTCTACAGTAAGCCAAGATGTTTGCAGGGTCATATGCTATCTCAGAACCCTATGTTCCCCCCCTAAATCCCCATCTATGACAGGCTCGGGTCTCCCCTTTGTGCCTGAGCTGGTGCTGGGCACATTCCCACAGGCTGCCTCCATCAGATTCACTTACCTTCTCACCTCTGCTGGATGTAGGAGCTGCCAGATCTCTTTACTGGACCCGCCACGGCAGGAAGGAGCTCAGGGCACCCAGCATGTTTTACAAATTCTTGCGGCACACCGTTTGAAAAAAATCACTGGTCTATCTGATAACCCAGACGGCTACTAAGTGACTAAGGGGATGGAGAGGATCAAATACAGTGCGGCTACGCTGGACAAAGCGATGATTCATGCCCCAAGTGGGATGGAGCAGACATTGTAAGATTTCATCACACCACTCAAGACTGTGTGCAATTGAAAACTTATAATTGTTTATTTCTGGAATCTTCCATTTAATGTTTTTAGTCTGTGGTTGACCACAGGTAACTGAAACCACGAAAAGCCAAACTGTAGAAACATTATACTGTATTTATCTTCTCCATAAGCCCAGTGGCAAGCCTCCAACAGGGGGAATCGTGTCCAGCCCCACCCCTGCCCCACCATACCCACAACTCTTTGGTGCATGTGAATGTGGGGGTGCAGAATTAGGGGAGCAAAGGTAGAAGACAGAAGTCCAGAGACCCAGGGAAAGGACACTGATGATCTCAGGCCTCTTCTAGGCCAGAGCAGGACACCTCTGTCTTGTATTAAATGTGTCTGAGAAGGCTCTGTCACCTAAGAGAGATGTGCCCGTGGCCCACGGAGCCCTGATTGCCCCAGGCCTACCTGGTAAAGCGTGGGATTTCGTCATTGATGTTCACGATGTTCGCCTGCAACGATGTGGAGGCTCCGAGGCCTTCGCTATCCCTCACTTCCACAGTGAGGTGGTAACTGTCAGGAGAACATTCCAAGTGTGGGAGTCAAGCTTTGAAATGTGGGGTGGGAGGAGGGAGGAAAGTCTGCTCCCTTTCTGCCGCCCCCTCCAGGTGCTCCTGCAGAGTCCGGCCTGCTATGCCCACCCGTCTTTCCCCACCTCTAAAACCCCACTCCTGCATTTCTCGTCCTGTAGGAATCATTCATAGCCACCACCTCACATGTGCTCATGCCCACCATCTTGCACACTCCATCTCCATCATTCCTCACAGCATCTCTGCAAAGTGTGCACCCATGTGAGGAAACCGAGGCCCCTGTGGATTAAGTCACTAGCCCTGGTTCTCACAGCCCGTGCAGAGCCAAGAGCCTGTGTGTTTTCATCTTCAGACCCTGGCCTCTCCTCACAGCTTTTCTCGGAGGCCTGCTCACTTCCACCCTGCTGCTTTCATGTTAGCAAAGAGCTCTGGCAGCTGCCTCTCCCCGTGCTTTGGGTGCCCTCTCCCTCACCGTCATTCTTATTATCTGCCGATGAAGATTGTGGATGGGGAAGGAGGCCTTCCATGTAACTGCCTTATTCCCTTTCTGGCCCTCCCTTCCCTCTTCACTTGGCAGGAAGGCAGCAAACTGCTCAGGGCCTCCCTAGCTGCGCTCACTCAGCCTGCACTACGCCTGCTCCTTGACCCTCAGATAAAGGAACTTCAAGCAAGGCCATCGGCAAAGGCTACCTGTTATGCCCTGCTTCAAAGTCAAAGCCTGTTGTGGAGAAGAGGGTCCCATTAGCAGACATGCTGAAGCTCTTCGAGGGAGAAATCAGGAAATACTGAAAAACAAGGACAAAAAGAACGTGACTAAGCACACTTATCTTTCCCCAGAGGACATGTCTGTTCGGTTCCCACTTTATATTCTTGGCTCATGGAACACTCTTGATGCATCAGGATGAAGCTCAAATAGTGAGTTCTCAGGCTTAATGGCGCTTGAATCAAGAAACGTCGGGCCGAGGCTGGTTTGGCTCAGTGGATAGAGCGTCGGCCTGCGGACTCAAGCGGGTTCGATTCCAGTCAAGGGCATGTGCCTGGGTTCCGGGCACATCCCCGGTGGGAGGTGTGCAGGAGGCGGCTGATCGATGTTTCTCTCTTATCGATGTTTCTAACTCTCTATCTCTCTCCCTTCCTCTCTGTAAAAAGTCAATAAAATATATTTAAAAAAGAAAGAAAGAAAGAAAGAAAGAAACGTCGGATCCGTTGTTGGGAGCCTCTGACCCCGACTTGCCACACCCCGAGGAGCTGATCGCTGGTCCTGCTGTAGTTACAGAATGCATATGAAAGGCCTGCGTGGGCCTCCTGCTTCGGGGCCCCTCTCCTTTGCCCTGTCACGGCATTCTCACTGCCGCCGCCCAGGCCCACTTCCTTAACCAACACTGTTAAACACAGCCACCATGCCTACGGTAACAGGACAATACTAAAGTAAATGAGCTCTGGTCTTCACACGTAACCGAACTTATGATAGCGCGGGGGTGCAAAACATGTTCATAAGCATCATCCATTGAAATAATGGAAGGGCCAAGGGAAGGACAAGTGTGAGAGGAAATGAAACTTAATGGAGCCCAAGCCTGAAGCTGGTTGGAGATATAGAAGGGCTGTTTCAAAACCTGATCTGAGGGTTGTGGCCACTGGTCAAGTCTTCCAGTGTCTTGGGGACTTGAGAGTCTTCGTCCTTCTTGGCTTCCAGTGCCCAGTCCAGCTCTCTTGATGACCCTCTGCCCAGCACCTCTTGCTCGGACAGGAATATAGGCTTATTTGTCCGGTCCACGAAAGGCCTGCTCATAGGAGGACTACCCTGTGCTCTCCACAGTGCTCACCAAGATGGAGCCCTTGCTCCCATGATGGAGTCAACAATGCAAGGGAAGGACCTGGATCAGAAGAGTTGAGTCCAAATTCTGGTTGGGATGAGCCCCTTCCTTGCCTGTAATTTAGGGATGATACCACCAACTGCTTGTTCCAGTCACTGTGAGGATTAAATTCCAATGCATGCTGTAAAATGTGGAGGGCCACAGGCCACTGAGGCTCACACGTGTATGTCCATTTGTTCCAAAGGGCTTTAGGGTTAGAAGGTTTTATTGTTTCCTACATGGATGAGGGATGACCTCTCTTCCATGGCCCCTGAGTTCTAGAATCAAAGGCAACACCAGCCAAGGATTCCAACCCAGAGACTTGGTATTGTCATCACAGCTGAGCTCCCCATCAGAGAAGAGAGGATGCACAGAAAAGACATTAAAGGTCTCCTTTGGGCATTTATATGGTTTTTAAGCCATTTAAAAAGTGCTTACCTTCCATTTACTATTTAATAACATTTTCCTAGTATTAATGAATATATCTTTTATACAAAAATTGGGAAAGACAGAAAAGTATAAAAAAGAAACTCAATTGTAGTCATCATTATTTTCATGGATAGCCTTATCCTCTTTTCTATGCAAACATACACTCTCCAAAAAACTGGGCTGATGTTATAATATCTGCACTTTTCATTTATAGCTTGAGCATTTCCCCATAGTCTTAAATCTTATTTTACAGCTTGGCTGGTTAATGGTGGCGCAGTGTTCTACTGTAGGGGGTATTTTACTAAGTCTCTCTGGCTGGTCACTTAGAGAGGAAATATTTTTGAGGGGAACTATTTGGGCAGTATCAAGGAGTGCCCTTCTCCCAGCCCCCAAATTGCATATGCACTCAGCGGCCTGACGTTTAAATCCCAAGCTCCCTCCCCCTCAACTCTCCTGCTCATAGCCTGGGAGCAAGGGCCTAGGCTCGCAGCTGCCTGCACACAGAGCAGTTCCATGTCTTTAAGCAGAGCCTTCCTGGCAGAGAATCCTCACGTATCCATAGATCAGAGGTTCGCACTAGATGTGATACAATGGTTTATAGACCCAAGCAGGGCATTTTCCACATGCACCTAACCGGGGATGTCTTTTCACATGGTTTGAAATGCTCTAACAGTGGTCAGCAAACGGCGGCTCGCGAGGCACATGCGGCTCTTTGGTCCCTTGAATGTGGCTCTTCTACAAAATACCACGTGCGGACGCGCACGTACAGTGTGATTGAAACTTTGTGGCCCATGCACAGAAGTCGGTATTTTGTGGAAGAGCCACACTCAAGGGGCCAAAGAGCCGCATGTGGCTCACGAGCCACAGTTTGCCGACCACTGCTAGGAGGTAGCTCTCCAGTTCTAGTTGGTCCCCCAACTGTGCAAGGTCTTGGGATATGGAGATGACAGTCAGGTCCTGCTGTGCAAAAGCTATGGTCAACTGAGGAAACACACAAAGAAGATATGGGAGAGGCAGTCCAAGAGGGATGAACACAGAGTGTGATGGGAAGAGGGAAGGAGGACGCTTAGGCCCGTCTGGAATGGAAGAGTCACAAATTGGGGCCGTGAAGTTAAGTTCAGTGGCTTTTGGAGCCAGACAGCTGAATCGGAATCCTGTTTCTACCACTTTTCAGCTTGTGCAACAAAGAGTAATAAAATAGGGCATGCCCCATCGTGCAGAGTTCTAGAGCAGGGCCTGGTACATGGTGAGCCCTCCGTATATGTTAACGATCACTGTCCAGTTAGAATGTAAGGTCCAGGAGGAAAAGGGCTTCATTTTACTCACTGCTATGTCCCTAGTGCCTAAGACGTCATCGATGCTCAATAAATAGGTGTTAAACGTTAAATATTGGGGTTTTCTTCTTGCCTGTTTCCCATCTGAGAGCAGCATTCCAAACTTAAAGGATCTTAAAATCTTTTTTGAAAATACAGCAACAAGCCGAAACCGGTTTGGCTCAATGGATAGAGCGTCGGCCTGCGAACTGAAGGGTCCCGGGTTCGATTCCGGTCAAGGGCATGTACCTGGGTTGCGGGCACATCCCCAGTGGGAGATGTGCAGGAGGCAGCTGATTGATGTTTCTCTCTCATCGATGTTTCTAACTCTCTATCTCTCTCCCTTCCACTCTGTAAAAAATCAATAAAATATATATTTAAAAAAAAGAAAATACAGCAACAAAAAACTTGTTAAACTTTAAAAAAAATCTGTTTGAATTTGGTAAAGCCAGTCTTGATTATGAAATCTTCTCCAGTTCTGTCTACAGCCTCAGCAAAAATGAACGAGAAAAAAGAAAAAGAAAAAACAGAGCCAGATAGAAAGAGTAAAACTGTAGAACAAGGAGCATGGGGAATCTTTATTAAAAGTCTGATTTCCTGGAATCCTGATTTTTTTTTTCCTTTTAGCATCATGCTAATTTCCTTTATCCCTGAACTTATGAGCTTGCGTTAATGGGAATAGCAGTTTTGTACTTAGAAAGGAGATAATATCCATAGACTAAAAATATTGTGTCATGTGGCCATTTGCCAGCAATTCCAAAAGCGTTCTGTAAAACCTGGCATTCTCTCCCCTTTTTAAAGGCTTGTTTAATCAAGGCTGCTCCCTGGATATTCATTCTTGGAAAACAGAAATTAAATAGAATGAAAAGCAACTGCAGCCCCTCTCTGCTCCAAGACTGGCTAAGAAAAGTCCTGAGTAATCAGATCAATTCGGTTAACAAATGCTTGTCAGACAAGCTCCACAGTTTCCCCGCTGGGAATATTCCTTTACCACCACCCCAGGTTTCTCTCTCTGCAGCCCCTTGGCAGCTGCGGTTTGCTCACGGACACAAAAGCTTCAGTGTGGAAGGCGAGGAGCCGTGCTTCCTGCCCCATTCACCCTTTATGGTGCCATTGGTGCCGGGAGAAAGGAGGGAGAGAGGGAGCTGGCCCAGTTTCCTGAAATGTCAGGCTCCCTGGGGAGGGCACAGCACCTCCGGCGGCTCCCCCACTGCAGTTGGAGTCACAGGCAAATAATGAGTCCACCTGTGCGGGTTTGCAGCCATCAGTTGCTTTCAGGCCTGCAATGGAATTGAGCTACAAGAATTCTGCCTCCTGTTTCCAAAGAACAGAGCAGTCAAGGTCCAGAGGGAAGGAAGGACCCTTATGCTTCCCAAGTCCTGGGAGTGCCAATGGCTGTAAGCCTCTGAGAACATGCCCCAGACCAGCGGTTCTCAACCTGTGGGTTGCGATCCTTTTGGGGTTCAAACGACCCTTTCACAGGGGTCACCTAAGACCATCGGAAACCACATAATTACATATTGTTTTTGTGATTAATCACTATGCTTTAATTATGTTCAATTTGTAACAATGAAAATGGGGGTCACCACAACATGAGGAACTGTATTGAAGGGTCGAGGCATTAGGAAGGTTGAGAACCACTATCCCAGACCCACCCAGAGGACCCACCACAGGGCACACCTTCCAACCGGGCTGTCTCAAGTTATGTATATGATGCCACAATTCTATTATGTTTTTCATTGTATGCTGAATATTTTAATAAAAGCCTCAATTCCTCCCTTTTCCCCTTTTCCCATCACTATCCCAACTCAGAAGTGGGAGGTGGAGACAGGGGTGTGGGGGAGAGGGTGCTTAGGAGAAAAAAATTACCATTAAAAAACCCTACTTGAAGCCCTTAACTTGGCCTGTTCATGTTGTGTTATTATAAAGGTGAGCTAAATGGGTTATAGGCAAGTATTTGAATGTTCTTAAAAGAGCCACATTTGTAAATGCAGAATGCTATCCATACCAATCCTTTACTGATAAAGCTGCAGAATCTATCTCATATTTTGTCATTCTTTTTTTTAATAATCAGCCTGGGACCCGTTCTTTGATTTAGGCTTTGCTAATCGTAAGGACAATGATCCCCGTCTATTCGAGAAAGCGTCTCTCCCAGTGTACCAACAGTGGTCAGTGGCGATGTCGGGAGTG